CTAAAGGACAATGCAAGGCTTCACTTTCTTCAAGATTTGAAGGTGATGATGATCTTCCCTGATTGAGTAAACATGAAAGAAATTAGAATATATCACATGAAGTGATAATGCATTATAACTACAGTCATTCGTGATACCTACTTCCATATCACGATGTCTCAAATTGCTTCTGGAATCCATATTGTAAGATTTAAAATTAACTAAAACAAAACCGTTGACAAACGTTAACAAAAATATACGTTTTCTTTCTGGTGGTTATTTGATGCGTAACTGAACAATCTATATTCATGCATATAACGAATGTAACAACTTCCCAACCAGTTATGTGAGAGGCAAATAATGTCTGGGCTTATATAACTAAAACCAATAGAGAGTACAGTCATGGGTCCAAATAATATTACGACATACTAATATAAAGAGAGATACACATAGCTAATGCAAACATTAATTTATTTTTAGAGCTGAAAAAGCTGACCAGCAATAAGTATGACAGCATCTAGTTTTTATGCTTTTTATCCATGTCCATTGATAACTATAACTACCGAAAAAATAGTACATTATAATATTAAAATAAAAGCTTGAATTTTAAAAACATCACTATTTATTATGATGCAATTGTTACAATATAAAATCGTTGTTACAATCAAAATGTACCAAAGTCTAAATTTTTATCAACATTCAAAATGTGGTTACTTTATATAAAGTTTGAAATATCTGATGAATAACAAATAAAACTTTAAACAGAGGCTACAGGTTATGTGTTACATAACTTCTAAATATACCAGTCAGATAAGAAATTAATCATCAACTAATTGTTTAAACAAGAACATGACAATCTCTTTTATATTTCACAGTCATAATATTAAAATAATATTAAAACCTAAATAAAGAGAAAATTCATGTGGTAGCCAATACAGGACAGTGATTTTCTTTCTATATCAGAAGATAATTATCTAGAAAATTTACTGTTTTGGCCAAAAAAATTGTAGGTTTTTGATACACAACAAAATCAAAATGAATTAGTCTGCCATCATGAATCATGATTATGAAAGAGAGCAATGTAAGAATAATTGGACAACCCAATTGCCCTTGTTTTCTGGTAAATTATTTACCCAAGTATGAGATACAACTCATACTCATCATGACTCATGACTTCATGATTTACCACATAGGCTGATCGCGCATATAAGCAGACTCCCCAAAACCAGTTTTGAAATGGCGATTTTATAAAAATTCGCATATAAGCCGACCCTACAAATTGTAACACGCCGGAGAAAGACGCAGAAAGAAAACAAAATTACTGTGAATCTGTAACACAAACATTTTTTATGTTTATCGTTTCTGCCTGTTAGCGAGGGTCGTAGGTGGATTCTTACTTGTAAATTTATGTTAATGAAGTCTATATTGCTTTTCAATGCGTCATGATTTATATTAATGGAAGGGATTGTGTCGGGAGTTTAAAAGAAAGTTCCTGAATCAGCATAAAACAATTTTATTTGATCACCCACAACGGCGGTTAAGTTCAACCCCCCAGTAGGTGAGGAAAGGCTCAGTCAATGTCAGAACTAGCCATATGGCTCTTTCGCCACCACTTATCTGTGCGAAAAATCTTTTTCGACACAACTTATGTTAAAACAAAACATTGGCCAGTACTGATAACCATCATCGCCGAAACAGAACAAAGCTTCAATCTTTTGTGCGAGAATATGCGAGTACATCTTTCTGATTAAAGTTACAGAGGTCCGCAAAAAAAATAAAATTGGCCATTGGGTTAGGTCATGTTGAAAACACTGATCTACAACATATTAAATTTACCGTTGCAGTCAAATTGGGACATGAAGTTGACAATAGTGGTTCAACTTCCTCCTCATCTTCACTTGAAATATATCCCAGGTTATGAAGTTGTGTATCATACATACTTGTACATCTAAAATTAAAAATAATTATTCTAATTTGTTCACAAATCTAGATAATCTTGGTGAGCAATGGACTGAATTCTCAGTGGGTAAAATTAGACCACAAAATAATTCAGCCAATTATATTGTCTAATTGACAAATTAAAATGCTTAAAATAATTCATAAGAAATAATTGTTGTATTTCTTAACTGTCATATAAGTCTAACCAAACAAATTCAAAACTAAGAAATATAACTCTATTATAACATTGTTAAAACCAACATTAAATATATGATTCAATTCAGAAAAAGTATGCTCTTGAAACCTACCTATTTTTCCCTTGTTTCATGTCAGTTTGATTCGTTGCATCTTGTAAACTTTGGTCCAGAGCGCTGTCATCAACTAGACTAAATGCCATTGTGACAATAGCAGAAGAGTATTGGAAACAAATACTTTATCTAATTAAACTTTGTTTGGTTATTATATTAAATTATTTCTAAAAATAGATAAAAGAATATGGACATCACAACTTCTCAGTTTAAATAATGCTATTACGCAGAATATATCGGAACAAGAGGTAGGTGGAAGATAAGTGTATAATTCAGTAACAGTAATAAAGGATGATACAATTGATATCGAGAGAATAATTTACGTTTGTGAATTAAAAAAGCTACCAATCATAGGGGAAGCAATGTTGAATACCACAAAATAATTAACACATAATATAACAGCTTTCATATACCTGGTCTATATGGGTTAACCAATCTGGTAAGCTGATTAAGTGCTGTTTATAAGATAATCTGCAATCAGGTAGCACTGCAAGGAAGTACTTAATCTCAATGCCAGATGAAAGACTTTATGCTGATTTTTTACTGATTAACTTAACTAATGTCTGTCCGAATATACATAATCTAATAATAATCTAATAAAACAGAGGTAGATAACCATACACGAAGGCTGACAAATGTTGATAGATGATTCTACGTTTAAGTGATATAATCAGTTCAACAATCAATCCATATCCATCACAATAAATTGAATAGGATAAGAGAAATGTAAAAAACAACAGCACTTATAAATGTAGTGCTTCTCAAAAAATTCGAGATTGCAGTGCTGGCTTTAACTAGGGATGCGAAGAGTCCAAAATTTAATAGCTCATGCACTCAAATTGGATATTCAGAGTCGTATCTCGTATTTCCTTGCAAATTGGTGCTGAACCATTTCAAGAATATATTTTTTTGCGTGTTGTTTGGCTATAATACAAACACGAATGTAGGGCAGTATGCCTTGCTGTAAACCGACCCACCGGTTTCGATGAATTCTGAGCGTCTATTTAGCATAGGATGGTGTTGTATTCCGTTGGTGATGAACTTGGCTCTGAGCGAAATTTTGTAGCTTTCAAAAAAATTCTTTTTTCCGGAAGAAAATCAAATGTAATAAACTTAATTTAAAAGAGTTATTGATGATATAAGCTCTTAAGTTGATAGCCTACCCTTTATATTTTGTGTTTTATTAATTTGATATGCATGAATAATAACAGTGATCGTGGAAAAGCATGGCCAGACCGAAAACTCGAATACATTGTGCCATCACATCCATTTAGTTCATATATATAAGAACACGTTTTTTAATCGCACCAAAAGAGTAAACATATCCAATTACTTGGAGTTCATCATAGGTACTCGTTGTTTCGTTGCGACAACATTGACATTAGTGATCAATCTAACAATCTTATTTCAACTAGAGCGGAAATACGAACAAGTCAACTGATATTTTATTTTTAAATTTCTTTTTTTTCGGTTCACTCAATGAGTGATTTTAATTTAGTTTAATATGAAAAATGTACAAAATAGGGAGCAAGTTTACTAATCGCTGTTCCCTTTCTGCCTTTCCAAATAATATGGCGGGCACCAGGCTGCCAGGTAATCAAAACGTAATGTGCGATTAAGCAAAGGACCAGTGCCAAGGGGGATGATTAGAATCCGGAATCACTAGCTACCAGCGAAAGCGAACAAAATACAAACAAAAGGTCAAAACACTGAAAAACCCTATGCCATTAGTAAACCAATATATAATCCTATTCAATGTAAAGAATGCCCTCGATAAAAAAAAATCGATAGAAACTTTGATTGCTAGTTTTTATGTGCAGCAATTGGACTGCCGTCAAATTTTAGTATCTGCAATGTATGCGTGTTCCTAGAATTTGTTTTTTGTGTTCGTTTTGCAATCTCTTTATCACATGTAAATATTGCCCAAAATGCGTTGATTTGACTGAAACTGTTTGTGTCTGACACACTATCAACTTTATTATCATTTTTGTAACTTTTATGTGTGAAACGCCCCAGGAGCCTTTTACTGCTGCTCATCGAGTCTTTTGATTATTTCAGTATTAATAAATATATTATTTGTGTTACTTTTGGTAAGTTTATTCTTAAGTTTTGCTCGTTTTCCAGGCATTTCTGTTACATGCTTCGTTAGTTTCATCAAGTTTTGTGTTTTCAGAATGCCGAAATGAATTGTGCTGTACCGCAATTCGTCTTACCGTACCGGTAACTACCTGAAAAAAAAGACAAAACTTATCATAAACATCTTAATTTCATATTTAAAATAATGCTTCGAATAATTTTTGTAATTACTTTTCTAAGAGTTTGTCTACTCTAGAATTTCCTATATTTGTTCTCCACATTATATTGCATTTTCATACCTGTCTCATAAACTTTTGCCATATCAAAAATGAAATCCCGTATCCGACGTCGAAAAAATTTCTCCTGCCAGTCTTCTTCAATGTCACCGACAATGGTAAAGTCACAATGGTCACATGACAAAAATTTGCCTGATACAGTGTGGTGATAGTCTTTCGCGGCTCCTCGTTAATTGCAGTCGAAACATTATGTGTCTGTTGTTTTCTTTTGCCTTGATTTACTATGCTTGTGTTGTTCATAATGTTTCTTGCACGACGAAAATAAATTATCTGAATCTGCTAGGTGTATCTTCACTTTCTTAATACCAGTACCGGTACCCTATTCGTATTTGCAGTAATACCGTATATTCTCAAAATGAATGGATATCGGTACCGTATATTTATAATTAACTCTGTAATAAGTATGGCACCGGTACTATCTTACCTAACAAACTCTTTTTATTTGATCAGTAGCCATTGTGCTCGGTTTCCACTGGGGGCGATTTTTGCCAAATTAGAATGTTTACTGGTACGAGCTCGATGGTGACCGTACATTTGAACCCATGTCTATATCCGCGGGTTCAATCAATATGCGGGTGCTGAAACCCATGGGTTAGGGTTAGTATGGGTTCAACTATCCGTACAACAAAAAAATTTCCATAGGTGCAATAGTATGCAGGTGCAATTGACATGGGTTCAAATGTAATGGAACCGAGCTCGATTTGTACCGGTACGCCAGGGGCAAAGCGGCTGGTCGTGGAAAGGACGCCGAGCGACTGCGGAGGTATAAACTTACCGGTATAATTCCCAGATCGGTCTTTAGAATAGATTATTTTTGAAGCGTTCCACTGATTCCATCGCAGTATCTTATTGAAACCATTCCAACAAATTGGTTCGTTCTAATTAATATCTGTATGGGGTATAAGTGTGCACCTGTTGTACAATTGTGCCTCCGGAAGGATTGTAAAGTTAGTTCAATAGCTCATTTATATAATAACATTTGTTTCACTATTAGTTTCCAATATCTTGTACAGTATTATACCGGTACAAATTTATAAGGGCATCCAAGAAGAAAGTGAAACATCATGGAGGTTGTCATTGCGGAGCTGTCAAGTTTGAGGTTTATGCCTCTGAAGAATTATATGTTTATGACTGCAAGTAATTTTCTCTTGTTTTTAGACATAGAACACATACCGGTAGCCTACTTGAAATATTGTCACAGCATTTCGACGATTCATATATTATGTTATAATACCGCTTCAAGACAAATTTCTTTCATTCTTATGCAACAGTTAGGCCTTATGATCTGATGACATCAATATATATATTATTGACAGATATGCCATCTTTTAGAATCAATCCATAGGTTTTGTTAGAAGAGCGCAACAGACTAAGTCCTCATTGAACCATGTTATAGCATTGTCATTACTTTCTCTCAGTTGCAGCATTTGTGTAAAGAAACACAATATTCACTTCATTGTGCCGGAAAAGGACTTTGAGCTAATCCAAGGATCCGATGCTTTGACCACTTATACTTTCAACACAGGCATTGCCAAGCATACGTTCTGTAAAATTTGCGGGGTCCAGAGTTTTTATAGGCCTCGCTCAAACCCGGATGGATATGGTGAGTGAGATATCCAGATGATTAGAAAAGAATTTATTTTTCATTTTAACATTTGTATAATATGAAAATAAATTATATCATGCAGGCGTCAACCCAAACTCGTTAGATCACTCCACAGTGAAAGATATAACAATTGAAAAATATGATGGCCAAAATTGGGAAGCTTCAATTCGAATGAACAACTGGAGAAGCCTGTACCAATACAATCCTGGGTCAAAATAGCCATCATCAGTACAAGCAATGCATAATTGGAAAAATCATCGGTGCTTAATTACTAATCAATTAAGATGGTCCAAGAAATACCACATGGATCCATTGTGACCTGGAAATGCCAAGAGAATCATACAAGGCAGTCTCACTTTCATGATTAATTATTTAATCAGGTTGCAGGAATACTACAATTAGGCGAATCAAGTTTATAATTTTGAGTATTCGACATCTGCTGGTGTTTTCTTTGCCATAAATGCTTGTGCTGATTTTGTAATATCTTCAGTCTGCAACATTGCTGCATTCCATGATGCCTGAACAGTGCAAAAATAACCATGCTTATCCAAGTACTGGTTTCGTAAGGAGTCCTAAAGGATCTACAGAATTTTCTCAATATATCGGGTTGATTTTTGAATAAAATTTCAAGGTGTGCACATGAGCTGAAGAAGTAGTATTCCAAAAATAATTATAGGCTAATGTTTCAATCCAGTGGTATTGTTGAATGATTCTAAATAGTTTGTCGAGATGAGTGCAGATTCCAAATTGGAGAAACTTTTTTGCATCAGATTATCAAACATTGGCATGTGTAATCTCAAAGCACTTTGTTCATAATTATCATTATTCTGCAAAGGATAATTGGATATAACATTATTACATACCATATAATCCAGCCCCTCCTGTGTTGTGTGATCCCTTGAGTAATTCATATGTATTTTGGTGCTTTGGACCGCAACAGACTCTTGGTTGCAATAAGAGAAGCTAATTCCATGGCCGCTTCCATCATAGAATCTTTAATCATCATAAACTCGACTGAAAAATTTGTTTTAACTATCAATCCAGTGGAGCACCAGTAGCCCCAAAGATGATAACCGAGGGCAGTAAGTCAGTAACTAAAAACTTATAGCTAGAGGAGGAAAGCAGTTACCTGACCAAACCTATCTGTTTGGCTTCATCTGCTTCTAGTTTTCTGGCGGTTAAACATAGTTCTCTTGCAACACTGTCATTACCAATTACTTTAGGCAGTCTTTGCAAAGTTCCAACATCAGGGGCCAAACCAACATCAATCTCCTAAAGTTGAAAAAAAAATATTATGACAAAAATGGAATCTCACTCCACCTGATTAAAGTCTCAACTTGCATTATAAGAGATTAGATTATGGTATTTCGCAGTGTTGTACATCAATACAGCCTATTTTAAGTTATTGCTGCAACGATCTATAGAATTTCTCATACTACATCAATCTCATTGGATCGTTGTTTATTGGAATATTAGCTATGCAGACTTCCTCAAAAGTTCCTGACTCAAGTTTACCCAACGCTATTATTTAGTTGTTATAAGCACCTGCACAACCGATTTCAAGCATCCTTGTTACACCTAGATCCAGCAGTACAAGGAACATTGGAATGAAGGATAGGTAGTTTGGTAAAACAATCCAATCATTCAGCTTTGGGGTGATTTCAAATCATATACATGCAATGTAAATTTAAAATGTTATATCATCACTTGTCCGTTTGTCAAATAATATGCGCTTTATATTTTATGAAAATTCTCAACATACTTTGGCTAAGTAATATGCATCTTTTGTTTGAAGTCTGATATCACATGCTGTTATTGCATCTACACCAACTCCGATACAACCATTGTGAACTGCAGCAATCACAGGCTTTTGGCACTTGAATTGAAAACATGCAAAATTATATCACTGCAGTAACGAATATACCTTAGCGCAGAAATAGGATTCGATGGTGCAGAGTCTCACATCACAAGCTGTGATTAGATCCACTCCTCCACCCACACAACCACCATGGACAGACACCAGCACTGGTTTGCTGCACTGTATAATTGTGTTATAAATTAAGAACTACTTTTGACCAAAAATGAAAGGATCTTTGTTTGGTATACAGATGTAATGCAGTCTTGCAATTTACAGTAATGAGGGTTGCTAATGCCAACTTGCTATAGCCCTTTTTCATTGTGGGAAAATTGTACAAGTTAAGACTTGAAAATATGACCGAATTTTCATAACAGTTTTGTACGAAGAATTAGTCTTACTTTTTTGCAATCAATATATTAGAATTTGAAACGATTTAAGACTCGTCAAAATTCTTTCCATGAAACTGATATCAAAAATAATAATAACTAGTAGCCACCCACCCGTTCAATAGAATTGCAACTTTCTTGAGCGAACTTGATAAAACCATGTATTCGAAATGCATTCCTTGCAACGTCACTGTTTGGATCTGGGGCAAGTGATGATGCAGCAGCCATGAGGTCCAGACCTAAAGCAAGACAATTTCACTGTTACAAATGAGGAAGGAATGAAAAAACAATGAAAGACATATCACCAGCACCTGCTGTGAACATTCTCCCTTTTCCCGATACCACAATGGCTCTTACATTGGAGTCTTTGGCTGCAATATCAAAGCATGATATCATATCACTCCACATTTGGTTGTTCATTGCATTCAACTTGTCAGGTCTGTAAAGAAACAAAAAGATTTTGGACTTAATTGCCCTTGATAAACTTCATCATTTATATATAATCATTATAGACAAGCTTACCTGTTCAATTCCACATGAAGTACAAAGTCCTTTGGGGATGTTACAGCTAGTGTTTCAAACTTATAGTTGCCAACATCCGCTACATTTGCAGACATTGGTCTGACAGCTAAACGTTTCATGGCTAAAAACAAAGAGTTGAGTGTAAGCCATATTTAAATTGACTATAGTATTCATCATTCTTTTTAACTGCTTGATCTCCCATGATAATGGTTATTCATATTCATTCTCTAGGGTTCAGAAACGAAGTTTTTCATATGAATATATATATATCACTATATTAAATTATGGCTTACCATTCATGGTCTGCGTCATTATTCGAGATGATGACAACATTCTGTATGTTAAGTTAGACAATGTCTTTGGCAATTACCTTGTATTTAATAGTTAGAAAATTGGCAAATATCATTAAGATGCTCACAAATGATTTGAACGAAACATATCAATATAATTGGATTAGGATTTCCAGCTTTTACCGACGGGTGTCGTTATATCCCAGCTTGCTTGAAGCAAGTGTGAAACACCTATTGAAGATATTGAAATAAATTATGCATTTATCTTACACGAGTTATATTATAATTGTTTATCACAGTGAAGTTGTTATTATCTGTTGCCATTATAGAAAAAATTTCCAATGTAACACAACCAACAAATATTGATACTTTAAATTGCAAACATCAGCATTGATCAATGTTTTCACTGGGTACTCGGTATTATTTATTTGCTTTGAATATAGTTTCATGGTGGGGCTCATCCTTATAATACTTGTTTCTCAATGTTCTGTATTTTTTCAGCATATACAATGCTTCAAGCTCCTTTATGATGTAATCCCCATGTTTCAACAACTGTTTGATTTTTTCTGGATCTTGCACATCTTTGTTTTTCATAAATGCATTGTGGCATTTATCACGAAAGTATGCGGAACCGAGCGGATAATCCTTTCCCATAAATACCAGATTTTTATAAAGCGTTTTTACAGCATAACGAAGTTCCCTGGCTGATGACATCCTTGAACCTTTTCTTACATTGTTTTAACAATATCTTATCTCTAAACTGAATAACTTGCAAGACAAAAACATCAAGATTATCCACAAATATGTAATGATTGCAATTAATTTTCTTTTAACACACATAAGCACAATATCCGGTCTTCTTTATGTCACAAATAAATCAAAAAAATGATGATGCAAATAAGAAAATCTTTTTCTTGCACTCTGGGTATAATTATAAACAAGTCACTAAATCGGCAAAGAAAATCGAATATTCACACTTTTATGCTGCTAGAATGTGCTTTACAAATTTCCATTTGCCTCATAATTTTTCATCAGATGCATGGATGCCCCATTCTTCCATCTCACTGAAAAAATCTGAATTAGTGGAATCGATAGCATTACAAAAATAATAAGTAACACAACAACTGTTCAACAAATTGCCCAGATTGTGTATCAAAACCAAGACTTTGCATTACCAAATGTAAATTAAATAATCATTTTTTGTACATTCAGCAAGGCTGATACCAGATACTTTGTCTATTAAACATTAACAATTTCTGCAAATACTCATTTCTTGAAAGTTTCATGGAGCATGAACTACTGTAACTTATATATCATTTGCAATTCATGTTTTTCAAGTATGCCACTCAGATAAATTTTATAAACTGACAATACAGTGCTTTTGATAAAATTGCAAGCAACAGATATGGCAGGTCAGTGGTGGATACACAAGGATTTTGAGGTATTATTACAAGCTAGCAAAATCTTTTCATTGACCTAAGTGTCAAATAGTACATAATTAGAAAAAAAATTTGCCATTTCAAATACTACACATAATTATTTTGGAAAATTTGTCTGGTTACTTGTCAAAACAAATACAAACAACTCGTTCACCCAACACATATCAATACCATTGCTGAAACTAGGTCCTTGTGATACCAACTGCCACACCATCCCAATTTCAATAACTGGGCAGGGAAGTAGGAATAGACCATGAAAGAAAGAAATGCCATAATAATTCAATGAGTATCAGTGCATAATCACATAACGCACTACACAACAAATACTCTGCAATTAGAGAGCATGAAGACAGCTATACTATATTACGACAATGTGAAAAAAACAGCAAAGACGAATGACATTGATTTTCAGAATAAAAAGCAAAAGTCAGACACTGAAAAAATCGGTATTATCTAGCATCATCGTAAGCAAGATTAGCAAAACATGAAATTTAGTTTGAGTTGGAAATGCAACATGAACAAGTCAGTCAACCAGTGGAACATATACTGATATAGGAAATAATATTAATACTGCAACATTTCATTCCCTATGAACAAGAACAAACATTCCTAGTAATGCTAACACTGCATATTTTAGTTTAGGGTAATCATTCATCAATATAGTCACTATCCCGACATATGGAACAAAACCTCGTGCCCTCCCCACGACATCTTTCCGTTCAACCCACAGTTGGCCGGGCTTATATAGTCCTCTATCATCGACTGAATTGTTGTCACCTTTGGTCAGAAATTTTACTTTGCCATCCTCTCGCTCATGCACCTTTATGGTCCTATGAACGATTGGGATGTCACGTCCTTCAATTTTAAAAACAACAATTTCGCCTGCGCGAATTGGGTCTTGTTGGTAATTAGTGAGAAATAGTAGATCTCCTCTGTAAAACGCTGGTTCCATACTGCCACTCAAAACAACAACAATTGGACTTTCGCTGCCAGTCACAACCATCATTCCCTTCCATATCATCAGCGCTGAAGACACAATCATTCCAAAATTCAAAACTTGAAAATACAGTTGTCTTTTGTTCAATCGTCGCATTTCATCGATGTACTCCATAGCGCTCGAATTTTGATATGTGATTCGATATGACAGACAGACAGAAAAACGACTGAACAGGCGACTGACCAGGAATGAGAGGAACGGGAGCTCGACGTGTACTTTTGGCGCTTACCAGAAATTTTTCACATTGATATAAAATGTCAATATTTTTGTAGTTTTCTTTCAATAAGTAACACAAAATTCATAAAAAATTTATATTGTATAATTTATTATTATATACAATGTAATTGTTCACTGTTTTTCACGACACGTTAATTCATTCAATGGGAGCGTTATCGCCATAATCTGGCATCGCATATCATTTGAGCTTTATTTCCCATATTAAAACGTCACAAATATTAAATCAGCTGTAGCGTGCTAGTTCTGTTTTCATTGTCCACTGGCGTCATGATGTTTTTTACATAAAGAGTGTCCGCCAAGTTGATGTGCCGACGGCAAGGTGAGCTAGAACGCGCATTAGTGTTTTATATACTCGATTTTTGGGTATTTTATTTATTTTTGTTTCATTGCTCTTGTCTTTTTACCTTGATAAATAGTAATCAAAATAACGTCATCTACTTACAGAAAGACAATAGGCTACTCGAACATTCGCTGCGTGAACTAAGAATTTGTATAATGCCCGCTGAAGAAAAAGATGGTGCAGCCGTTCAAACAAGTATGGCGTATATTTATGTTGTGACTTACCTGGAGTTGATCATGTTCAACCGTGTTTCTGTATGTGCGAATAGAAAATAAAATTGTAAGCAATATTCAGTATGTCACCCTGCACCCATGGGGGGGGATCCGACTTTTCTCTCTAGCAGTGTTTTTAAACCTTCGAACCGCTACCGCGTGATTGGCACTTACTCTGTTGCTACATATATATTTACAGGTAGAAACAAACGTATTTTGGCAATTGGCTCCGCTATCATCCTTGTTGCCGCAATTGGAACTTTGATCGTTGTTATCACAGGTTAGTATCTTAGAAAAAATCCTCATTGTTTGCCAAACTTCACGTTAATAGTATAGACTATAGAGTATGGACTACTGCAATAATGCACGATTATTCATCAAAGTGCAGATCATAAGTATCAATTACTGATATACTAATTGCGTTGCTGCGAGTTATGTCGCTTGACAACATACTTTTTATTGATGTTCTTAAAGCGAGTGTAACTAACTTTTTCACAATGACGTATGTTCCTCGAACGAAACGATATTTTGCCTGTCACTCAGCTAGATTTTATCTTCTAATGGGTCGAACTGGGGGACTACCATGTCATTCGTGTCGCGCGATTTTTATGTTTGGTTATAACGTATTTGACTTGGTGAAGTCTAAGAACGTATACAAATTCGATAATCTTATAGTAAAATTTGACTCAATTTAAAACAATGTCACTCGGTAATAAGAATTCGAAAATATTTTGATTTTGAACCCAGTTTTGAAATTCATTTTTCGTTATATTTCAGCGCCTACCAATGAGATCAAATCATGCCAAGCAATAAGGAAAGCGTCTGCTGAAGGTCGGGATTTCACCCTTGAATATGACGTGGCGGAAATAAATGCGTGTGAACGTAAGAACCAAGATTGTAAATTGAAATATATTATTTTGAGTCTTGACTATAATAATATATTATTCTCAGATTACGGATGTACTTTCGATGTATCTGCTTGCGACATTCCGTGTCCATTGGGTTTCGAAACAGATGATAACAGATGTGAAATAAGCTGCCGTTGTTCATCTGACTCAAAAGGAACGTTTCAGGGAGACATACAGTTTGATGACACCGAAGTTAACGGGCTGCTAGTAGTAAATATATTTCATTTGAATTGAAATGATGAAATTTGGTACTTGTGATCTCATTTTAGATAAAGTCATAGAAAAAGTCACCTGGTATTCAATATTTCAGAGGTATGGCTATGCTTCTCGTGAACAAACGTTTGCTGTTTTCTCGAGTTCTGTCAGAGAGTCAGCCATTTTGTGGGCAGAAAAAATAAATGACCGAATCAAGATCCCCTATACAATTGATGAAACGTTAGGTATGAGGATTTGCTATCTCTTTCCATTTCCAAAAGTGAATGGATTTTCTATCAATTGAGAAATATTTCAGGCGAAAGTAAACAAGCGATTCAAAAAGCTATTTCGGAATACAAAGAAAAGACTTGTATAGACTTTGTTCCCAGAAATTCGGAAGAAAATTATGTGACGTTTCAGTCAGGGGTTGGGTGTTGGTAAGAGGCTTGCTTATTTTATAGTAAACAGGATTTTGATGAAATAGGATTTGAATTCGAACGAATTGTGAGTTCTGTGTTTCTGGTGTTCATTATCTAACAAGATCATCAAATAGATTTACAGAGAAATATAGCTCTAACCTTTTTATATCACTCGAACAGCGAAGAAGTATATTGAAAAGGAATTTTGTTTAATTGGTGAGTTGGGAAATACTTCAAAACGAATATATCACAACGCACACACGAGTGTAAAGCAGATTTGACATAGGGAGTAGCCAGTATCCTCGGTGATATAGAGACGTCTCACTATATGAAAAAATTCTCTTTCAATGAAAACGTATCTGATGTTTGCAAGACGGTGTTGACGACGCGTATATCAATAACCACTCAGCATCAGCATGGTTGCTTCAATTTTTAATCACTGGGATCGCTAACAAGTAGTTCTTTTTCACCCAAAGATGAAAAGTTTAATCAATATTTGTGTTTGACACAGACACACTAAATTTAAGTTTTTGTTGGGGCTTCAAGACTATTAACTTGATACCAAATAATATGTCTATTATGTTCGCTTATCATTCGAGATTAAATTGTGCGTATCATTTACAATTAAAAATTGGACTTATCATGACACATTTTAAAGATAGTTTCAGGATTAGTCCTTTCAATTACAGGTCAAGAGTTGGAATGATTGGTGGGCAACAAGATGTTGCAGTGGGGAAAAATTGTAAATCAGCCGGAATAATCATGCACGAACTAATGCATTCTATTGGGTTTGAACACGAGCATACAAGACCAGACAGAGACGCATTCATTACTATTGATATGAATAGAGTAGATCAGAGTACGTAAGTTGTATGTTGTTAATTTGTTTGGAATATGGCGGTTTTCAAAACACTCATAGAAATCCAGGTGCAGCACGTTTGAAATTGCCTTAAGCTGAAATGTAGATTAACGAACCGCCTGTCAATGTTACTATTGAATTCATGAAACTCTTACACTACTACTATTTTGTCTCTCCTGGAATGTTGTCTTCAATATCTCGGCGTTTCTACACTGCTTAATTTCGCAAATTTACTCTTCTTCGGTGAGGCGTCAACAATCCTCGGACCTTGATGGAAAAAGTGTTTTTTTGCCGAAAATCGCCAATTGTTGCAAAATGCCCAATGTTTTATTTCAAATATAAAAGCTTTTTATTTTTACGTCACAAGTATATACCTCCTTTTTTCGTAAAAAGTTTGATGCAGAACTGTGACATTTTGATATATATGCTATTTGCAGAGTATCTATTGAATTTTGCGAAGATATTGGACCCAGTGAAAAATCTTGGGAGGCCTTATGATATGGGTTCAGTGACACATTACGGAAGTAAAGCTTGGTCGATCAGTCCCGATGAATATTCATTTGTAAAAAAAGATGGCACCCCAATCAAAGGTCAAAGGAAAAGCTTGAGTACAGAAGATGTGAAGGAGATAAATGCATTATATGAATGTGCTGGACATGGTGGCGGAGGAGGCAACATTGAAGGAGTATCTGTTTTGACTGTGTCCGCTTCGAAAGAAGTCCCAGACGATATCGAAAATGATGAACAATTCGGTCAGCCGTACGATCCAGACGCACCTCCAGAAGGTATGATTTGATTGCATAGGATTCTTTTAAAATTGTTTTCACATCACATTATGCCTCTCCCGACCAAGGATAAAGAAAAATCTAAATTTTAATGCAATTAGATATTTTACATTTAGACGACATGAATGAAAACTTGTCATCAACAGAGTCAACTTCGACCGCTCAACAAACAGAAGGCGTCACAGTGTCTCCGTCATGTGAGTATGTATTTTCCCCTTCGTAGTTGAGAAGTTGGAAAAACAATATGTATTGCAATAATGCTCCTGGCTGCTACACTTCGTAAATATTATCATTTTTACCAATATGATGTAAAGGCAACGTGATACGTCATTGGATCGCTATAGTACCGATCATTAGTCATGCCTGATCCTCCACATGTTTGGGGACGTGGCACAGCATAAATATATTAATCCGAAGAGTTTATATTATTTCAATCAAGCATATAGTATCACATATTACACAAACCATATGCCTCGTATTTTATAGCTCAAGCAGTTTTTGCACCCCACGATGATGTATCATGGAGTGAATGGGTTACTTGGTCTGATTGTACACAAACTTGTGGAATAAGTGAAGCTTTACGATTTCGAAGTTGTATGGTATGCCTTTCCTTAAATGGATTTTTAACATAACCATAGCGAAACCCTATCTGATATCACTAAATCACAATCGATCCAGGCGGTCGTAATTTTTCGATATTGGTCTCTACCAATATGCAAATATGGCACATTGATATGAATATATTCCAAACATTATTATGACAATGCATATACATTCGTTGCATTCTAAGGTTAATATATAAATCAAAAGCATGACAATTATTGCGTTGCCAACAAAATTATGATCATGAATCAATTTAGCCGTTCAGATGTTTTTCACGTATTTCATCAGTACTTCTAAATCAGTGATTCTGAATTATATTAACTTACTAGAATAACTTACGGACCAATACTGTTACATTGGCACATCCCTCGTGAGTAGTAAATACGGACTTTATGCTTATGATAAATCGAGCAAGTGCCACAAACAATTCTGGCCACAGTTTTTTAAAGTAGGCTATATAGATAACTATTCGGTATAATTAGCGACCTTATTTGGGTAATAATCTGCAGCAAAGGGATGGATTTTCTGGTTGGGGATGCGAGGGAGAATGGTATGATACGAGAAAATGTGAGAAGGATGCATGTCCTGGAAAATTTGGAGAATGGCAGCCATGGGAATCCTGGGAGTCTTGCAGTAGAACTTGTTCAATGGGTTACCAATGGCGGTGAGAATTACTTTATTTTGAATATATTGCTCGAAGCAAGATTGCAAACACTTACACAATGTCAACAATAAATGTAAAAACTACTGTAAAGCAAAGTAGCTTTTTAGTAATAGAATATTAATACCTACCCAATGAAGACAAGTCGAAAATACGCCATAATTAAATGGCTAACAAGACATTAATAGTCAATAATTTGGCATGGAGCGTAAGAAAGTGATTGATGGAGGAAGTCGCATGGAGTCGGTGCTTACTTGAACCATCCCCCACTGGACATCCCACACTGGTCACCTCATATACGACCGAAAAGGCTGCAAAATGTCAATCGGAATGCCAGCAATGATTGACGTAAGATTGACTCTGGATAAACTGGTATGTCATATTTCCGCGCGACTACTGAACAATTCCACAAGATTAAATTAATCAAATGTATCATTGTAGCTTAACTTTATAACATTATTTTAGAAATCGAAAATGCCCTGATGGTGAATTATGCGAAGGATTCGGTATAGATGGAAGGTATTGTCAAAATCCTGAATGCTGAACTTGAAATGAATTTTAGTCATATTATAGTTCAATATAAGTATATATTAAAGTTGTGAAATAATAAATTAACGATATATCTATGTGTTTGACAAACAATTTTTTCGCCGAAATTTCAACTACATCATACATATAGTTGCTCCCCTAAGTGATTTTACTGCTTTTCTGCTCTGGGTAATTTTCGAGTACGTATTTAATTGCGAGAATGGAATACCAGCGTTTCACAACAGTTTGTGCTGAATTGATAAAGTAAGTGAGTTCGACTTCTGATTTTTATAGGGCCGAACTACTGCCTTATTGGTGGTAATATCGAAAGATTTCGGAGATGATCGCATCGCTTTTTAAATAAAATCGTGTGAAGACGCAGCAAAACTTTGAAGTCTTTTAATCTGCGGAGAGCATTTGACAGCCGATCCACTTTTGCTGGCGATTAAACAATCGCGGCAATTGAACGGCTATTTTGCTAGTGATGTTATCAATCCCCATCCAAAGTAAAGTTCCTAAATTTGTCACGGGCTGGTACCTCCGGAAAGCCCGAGTGCGATCTGCGCGCGACCTACCTTAAGCTTTTTTTAAACAGCTAAAATATGCCGCATACCTCATGTGTATCAAAGTATAACCATGTACCAAATTCCATTGCATACTGTGGATGATTTATTTAGCGCCTAAAATACAATTTAAATTATAATACAGAGAAGTGCGTCGGTGCAAATTCGATATTACAAATAAATGTGTAATGAAAATGTGAAGTTGAAGAATAAAAACGCAATAATATCATGATCAGAACAGTAGGATTCGTAAACGACTTTCGCGCTGTAGTTAAGAGCTTTGTGCAAAAATGTGGAAATTATCTTTGAAAATTCTACACAAAACAGTAGGATTCGTAAACGACTTTCGCGCTGTAGTTAAGAGCTTTGTGCAAAAATGTGGAAGTTATCGTTGGAAATAGTTGAAAATTCTACACCCTACTAGAGGCAACTAAGAATATACTGTTTATAATCCAAAATTTTAAAATGATTCGCCCGAAAGTTTTTTCACTTTCACATATGTTCGGTCACAAATTCAATGTGAAGTACACAGCTGTGGTAGAATTTGGACTCATTTCAACGAAAATTATTTGGTCGTTACGTCATTTCCATTACCTCGTACCCAACTGCAGTCACAGATTGCCCAGAGAATTTCCTGTTTCTGGACTTTTGATAAAATTTCCAGGTTTTATAAATCACTACTAAAATAATGTTATAAATAGTTTGCGATATTGAGTATAACAGGGGGATGGTAATAACAGCCATGAACATATTCAAACGGTTTCCATAAGTTAAAAAAACAACATTTGTCGAAAGACTTCCATTCTGTATTGACGTTTCAATTGCGATCGTTCGTCTTGCTTCCCGTGACAATTCAAGTCTCGGAATGAGAGAGATGCAGAATGAAATCACCATGCCGGCAATTGGTAGAACTGCTATTGGCTGTAGTAAAGCATCAGTAAAATTTGATACAAACTAGTAAGCTTCTAATGATATTTATTTAATTTGCAACATAGAATTAAGCTCAAAGTTTACTGTAGTGGGGATTTCAAATACCAATCAAACACAACTGACCGAAAAATATTTACATCAACATTAGGCAGTTCGCCGAGTTGTCACCAACAATAAAAAACATGTTACGTAAGAAAAGATTCATATGTAAAAATTGCGTTTTGAAAATGTGGCCTCAAAAATTATTAACTGCCGAATTCACCTCGGCCTTCTGCGGATAAAAAAAATGGCGGTGCTTCGAAATTTTCCTTCCCAATCGATTCGAATAATTTGCTACCCAACCCTAACGACGAGTTACCATGGGATAGAACTGAAAATTCTGTTCCGAAACTAATATATTCTCAAGAGTAAAACATTATTAGACAAATCACACCCACGCAATCCGATATTGTCGTTATATATATAATAATAGAAATTAATTTACCAGTATAGTCTTCACCGAGAATACAATTGGAATGTCATTTCTTATCAACATCGCTGCAACAATTGCAACCAATAGAATAAATCCGAATATTGCACATCCCTGAGAAATAGGGGCGATATAAGAAATAAATATAAAATCGGGAAAAATAAATACGCTTTGATAATATGTGTTATTATAGTCACTCCTACGTGAACATTTACGGCATTCATAAAAGTTGCCTTTTATATGTGAACAAGGTCTGCTTAGCTTTTATGAAATGATGAATTCAACAAAAATTTGTTGTTTTCTTAAATTCGTTCAATGATAATGATCAAATTCAATGATAACAACAGCTCCACTAAGGTTAGTGAACCTGGCGATGCCTAAATAAATAAATATAGCTTTCTCGAGCAAGCTATAGTTTAAATTCTAAACGAGCTTTAGCAGGAGTAATAATGTCATATATATTTAATAGTTCAAGTATAACAAATACCATATCATCATAAAATACTGTCAATAAATGATTTGATTTTACTATAGTGTCATATCTGTAACGAAAAACTTTTCTACAGTAAAGATCAAATCTAAATTTCTCCAACATCGCTAAAAGATAGCACAATAATATCCAATCCAATTGTAGCAAGGCGACCATCCTGCTCACAAGTAATAACATGAATACCCAGCGAATAGAATAGTTATGTCGAAAATCGAACTGACCTTTGCTAGATATTTGGCTATTTTGACGAACTTGTATCGAAATAAGATTCCGGCAACAATTGGAATGATCAAACTTGCTAAAGTGATCCCTGGATTAACAAGAAAATTCTCAATTTTCATTAATGCCTTTTTGGTGTGGCGTCGGAGAAAAAAACTAAGGCATTGACCAGCAGAGATGGCGATACTTTTTTACTGAATGGGGTCACACATTGCATTTTTATCATGAAAAAATAACCCTCTGTATCTATAAAATCCGTGTGTGAAAACATGGATTTGCTTGAATATGAAAAACATAAAAGATATGGCAAATATTTCATGGTTCCACTCAGAACTATATTTTCCGCTCGGACTCGACTATAGTAAAGTCACTACCATCTGTAGCCAAACTTTCATCACAGGTTTCTGCATATCGAGACCATTGACCATTATAGTAGCCCACCTATTGTTATGCCTAACTAAAGACATGCCAACCTATATGGATGTCAACAGTATCCGATTTTAACATAATTCTATCATAATATAGAAATTTAATATCCATTCTACTAAACGTAAACAAGTTCCAGCAAAACGATGTTATTTTCTTATGCTTCAGGTTCTATTCCAGAAAACTATACACGAATAGTCTAAAACAGTGTTTCCCAACCCGAGTCCTCGGTCTCAAATGAGTCCGCAACGAGCCAGAAATTCACTGCGGGCCGCAAACGTTTTTGCGAAACTTAACCATCAGCCACGATTTACGTTAGAAATTACATAAAACATAAAAAAGCAAGTTTATCCATATAACATTAATCGAGTCAATAATTTCTGGATACTGAATGAGTACGGCTTGGCATATATTCGAATATTCAACTATTAGAATAGCAATTTATTATTCGAAAATTTGGTAACAGGTGACGCGTCAGGTCACTTGCGCGTCGTTTAATCAAACGATTGGATTTAGTCGTTGTTGTTCGAGGAATAATTTTTCTGGTAGGTGTCAATGGTGGCAACCTAAATTTTCTAAATTGAAAAGCGGCAATACAAAATACTGAAAATAATACTGAAAACACCATGAGTTTTTTAAAAACGCTTTTTTAGACATGTTGCAAATGCAAAATTTCGGGTGCTACCGTAGTATTCGTATCAGGGCATTTCCCTCAGAATTCTTTGCTTTACTGCAGGGTCCGCAACATATGGCCCGCGGAGCAATATAATCAGGCCCGCGACGTTTCTCTGAATTATAGTAACAAAACAGCTGTTTTTATGGTTATATTCTTTACGTGACAGAATTTATTTTGCGGCATGTTTAGACTAAATTATATCATAACCGAACAAGTATATAATTCACAATTACTCGTTGAATGAGCCTATAAATTAATTATAATTAGGCATTCAATGGCAACAAAACGCAGAAAAGTTGAACGCTAAGTGCAATTGGTTCAATATTTAAATGGTCAGTTTTTGGGCGCTGCTTAAAATTCAATTTCTGATCTGTATGGAGAAATGTGATGCATTGGTCATACGTCAGGCTTTTACCTTTCCAAAAATATGCGCGGCCAATCAATGACTTGCAACCTTTAATTTTGGCCTGCAAGCGACTTGACTTCTGGCTTTACTGTTGCACAAACTGCTCATATTTGTCGAATTCACAAAAATACGAATTAAAACAAAATATAATCGGACACTTTACCACGCATTTTTGTGTCCACGGATTGTCATGATATTTTCTGAATAGTATTGCTTTCATTTCGTCAACACAACCGCAGATTAAAATGATCACAATTAAATTAATATTAAAGCAAGGCGATGGATATTTTTTATTTACCAATATACTAATTATATTTTTAATAAGTACTGAATCAGGTTGTACAACGGCGATAATAAATTCGCAAGATCGCAAATAATTTATATCAAAACTAAATATAACCGGGCAATATATTCTCACATTATTATGTTCGCAAATTGCCGTGGCATTTAAAAGAATTAATGCTTTCGTCTTGTCATAAGTCAACGCAACCGCGAATGACCATGAACACAATTAAATTAAAATAAGAACACATTTTAAATTTTTGTCGTTGTCAAGGATTGAATATTGTGCGACAGAAAAGGCCATTATACACTAAATAAATCGGCCCTTTTAACATAGGCGTAATTTCCGAAATTTGGTGAAATTCTTTTGTGTTCGGTTTCATTACTTATTCGCACAGAGTACGGTTGCAATAAACTCACGTTGAGTCCGCAAAGGTTTTCGCCTACGAGAAAATAGTCCGCGACCAAAAAAGGTTGGGAAACGCTGGTCTAAAAGCTAATGGGTGATTATGCGTGTAACATATACGGGGAACAGGATTCTCCCACACAACAGAAACTTGCCTATAGTGGCAACCATGAATAATAAAAATGCTTACCTAATGAACTGTACGGAATTTGAATATTTTCATCAACCTCTTCAATCCACGTGTATAAAAAGAGCCACATGGGGACTGTTCCAAGGGCAAACAAATTGCTCAAAGTTGTCAAGGCAACACTGAAATATTTGTCATTGTGATACTATTTTTGAAATTTGATTCAATAATACTTTAGTATTCGATTTTGCAATTCTGTTATGTTTACATGCTTTGAAACTATATTATTTACTCGTAACTAAATAGTTAACAAAAGTTGAAAGGAGTGTATGAATAAATCGCAATAATTATGAACATAATGATAACAGCAATGCATATTTCATTGAATGAAATGTCTAAAGTCTAATTATACATCGCTGACTGGATGACAAATCTCTACCTATGAATCACTTAATATATATACACATACATTCGCTGGTGATTTACGGATAGCCATCATTACGAAATATGAGATATTTTTGCTATTTAATTTTGTCACTTCATTAATTTTCGGCAGTATTATCAACACAAAAAACACGAGTTTATCCTTGTAAGTCTCCAGCTAGGACTGCTTGCTCACCTTAGTGGCATATCTCCATCTACCATGTACGCTAGAATATTACTGAAAGTGCCGCCAGGACTACAGCCTACCACCATGAACGTGATTGCCTGTAATTCAGACATTGATGTCGCTTTTATCAATCCATACGCAATCACTGTAAAGAAATTAGTTTCGAGTTAATACGCATTCGGTGATTTTCCATGAATGCGAGGCAGGAAATTCCCATTAGGCCTGAAATATGACTTTATGAGAATGTACTTCCTATGAACTCAAATCAAAACATACACTGCTCGGGAAGTACAATGAAATTTTTGAAATTGGCTTACTAGGCATCATCAAAATTTGACATCCGAGTCCAATAAGAATTCCAATGGGTCTTTTAAAATTGTTAATCAATTTTTCATGGTCCACCGCGCATCCCATTCCAAACATTACGAGTGCGAGGATACATCTACAAAACGAGAGTAAGATAATGTGAACTATAAGCTCATAAATTCCACATTCGTATAATACTATAATACAATTTATTGTACTTCGATTTTATAGTGGTGTTTTGGCAATGAAACCAGGAGTCAGCCTATGCCTTGTGATATTGGCGGTTTCCAATACATACAACTATAAAGCAGATTTGTGATTACGTCCAAGTAACATCGGTAACCAAAAAACATTGAATTGTGAAGTTTGTGATATCTGTCGCTTCTCAAAATCAGAGAAGTTTCAGAATCATAATATGTGGCTGCTTGTTCAAAGCAGACGCGTGAAACACTAAAGACTAAACACTCAAATATATTAAAGTGATTATCGTACTGAAACACACTCACGTCACAAGTATTTTAAACATTTCAATCTGGGGGTCAAATTCATATCCCGCCGTTGTATTCCCGAATGTCGTTGCATTTCCTGCTGTAGTGGTAAATTCCATGTCCAATGCCTGTGTCGGTTGGCGAATGAATAGCTTTGTGGGATTTTTATACAGGAATCTCTAACCAAAAGGCTGTATATAGTCTATTCCATTTCTACTGCAGGCTTTCACTACAAAATGATCCAAGACTATTTCAAATTAAATATCACGCTATAGCTGTTAACAGAAAAACGATTTGTCATCAAACTGACTCATAAAAAAAACATTCATATTACGTTTGAGAGAGTGCACATAATAATTAACTATTTTTTGGATCGCAATATGTTTGAAGACATATTTAACAAAGGCTAAATCAGTACCAGTATCTGGGCAAAAATCCACGACAATAAGTGGAATATTATATGGCTATAGTTTCCACAACAAAAACAGATGCTGTCCTGCTTGATTTCGCTATGATTAAGGCAAGTTTGACCTATCAGTGTCAAAAATCTGACACACAGCTTGCTAAAATATACGTTGAAATGTTACGTCACTTTGATGATATTATTCGTAACTGTGTAACAAATACCGGTACGTAAGCGCCAATATGTTTCAACTGAAAAATACGATTAGACATTTTGCACAACTCTCGTCCAAATATTGTTTGTGACACTATCTATAATTCTATAAGATGATTTACACAGCATTCTTCTGGTACAAATTATCATTTCGCTGATCAAAAAGTAATGACATACATAACATTTCATGAAACTGTCCAGAATATTTTTTTACCTAAAATATGGCCAATTATGATCTTGTAGGGCCTACTTTCTACAAAATTGCTATAGCTATAATATTCTGATATATATGCATGGCCCAAAAGCGGAATTATGTCCGTACGTGTGCATGAGCTTGCAAGAGCTGAACGTTCCCATCTTTCTGTCCTACCCGATAAGGGCATTACTGCTACGTGACTGTGTTCTCGCGGTTCGTGGACGTGGTTCATATTCTCATATACACATAGACGCCAGTCCCTAATTAACTAATTATTTCATAACTAATTAACCACCTATGTTGGAAGTCAAGCCTTAATCACTTTCTACCACGACTATCTAATAAGCCTGAAAGGTAGTATAGATTAAGTTACGTACTGAATTTCCGCTTTCAAGTAATTTCTGACAAATATGTTGACGTATCGAATTCAAAATAGATAGTAAATTTGCCACATTACCTACCTCAATTCGCACATGTATTATATCGAGGAAAACTGTTTCTACCGCTTGCCAATCACCAAACATATTTTATGCCTAAGGAAAGGTTATTTTTCTGCCTGCTGTCGAAGCATACGGTTCCGATGTCATATAAGGAATTCCCCACCGAAGAAAGCGCTCGATTTCATCATACAAAACTAATTTTATAACTATGTATATACAATGCAGTAGAAATGTACTCAGTTCACCCAAGTCGATCTGTGCGCAATGTACCGAATAAATAAAGCATTTTAGGCCTCACAATCAAGAAAATGTTGTTGTTTAAAGTCAATTTATTTCTGTCAGCAAATCACTAGAGCGAGGCGTAACTTACTGAGAAGTACCGCATCACGAAATCCTTCAGTGTTCCATACTATAATACGCTTTCGCCTCAATTTGATCGAGGTACTACGCGGAGTAACGATGAGTATTGCGTTCGCTAAACTATTTTCCGGTGCCAAACAATGACCGCGCTTTTGATTGTGAATTCAGGCATGCCTATAACGACGTATTATAGCTTGAATTTATGAGTTTCGGTTCGAGTAATTAATACCATTTTGACGTATTTTAGAGGTATTTATCACAAGCATTACTATTAAAAAATATATATAAGCTTTCAAGGCAGCAATGTTTCATCTTGTGCTGAGCAGAAATTGCTTAGGAATGCTGGAATTTTTGTATAACGGCGAATCTTAAAATTTGATAGAATTGTTTTATTTTGAAGCTGCTGAGAAATTCTGGAATAAATGGCTAGTTTTCTGCTCCCCTACTCCCGCTTTGATGCCTGTCTTGTCATTCTGTGACATCAAACCTTTTTAAGCTAACGCTAATTGGTCCTGGTTTTGCATGATTCAAACCGTTACATGCATAGAAAATAAACCGGATCTTTTGTACAAAGCCCCCGCAAAAACAGCCTCGCCAACGCTGAAAAAAAGAAAATTAGTAATCATCTTGTCAGGGTTTTCGTTAGTGATGCAGACTGCGCTGGTACTTCAAATTTTATAATCATTCCTAACCCCAACTGGATAATTACTAATTTGTTATTTGAAAACATACGGGCGGTTTTTCTCGAATCCCACATTTTTGCATTAATGGCGGAGGCATTGTACAAAAGATTCAATAAACCTTTTGGATAATCTAATCATATGTTTCTAATAAAGGAACTGCCATCAAACACTCTGGTAATAACTGGTGTTCCTGGCATATACATGTCACAAAAAATGTCCATGCTTAATTATGATGAGAGGCACATGAAAGGAATTATTTGCCCTGGGTTTGAAAATCTAATGGTGCATCACCCACATCAAATGGTGCCCAAAATAATTTCTGGCAATATGTAGAAAATGCGTACAGAATCGAAAAGCTTAAGAAGCACCGCGTAAGGACGATACTGTCGGAAAATAGGTTGGATATTTGTTTCAAATACGTAAATACTACAAATAGTTATCATTATATCGAAAATTAGTATGAACTATGTCACTCCATGAATTGTAGCATTAATAAAATTGATAGACATATTAGCTCAATCGATAAACAAGCGCAATCTAATCTCGTTTTCTTTCTAAACTACACTTCTCTTCTGACACAACTAGTCGTTTTGAAATGTGATAATGTTCTTCTTTTCGGGATTGACTGACACAACTGAAAAACGCTTTTCTCATTTCATGAGTCAGCACACGCACTATTGTTATGAAATTATTGAATATCCAATGACAATGGCTAAGAGCGAAAACTTTGTGGAAGTCTGTTTTTATTGTACGTCCATTTCGCATTTGTCACGAGACTATTGTGTAAAGGAGGATTAACACCCTCCCTTTTGTTAATCTGAAGGCGATGTTATTGTAATTCTCAATTGACCTAAATATCATAATAAAAGAATCTCAGCAGTTGGTCATTTTTGGTAAGTGACGTGCATGTTCCCAATTAGTAAACTTGATTTTTCATTTCGCATCGTAATACACATAGTATATTATTATTTTTATGACTCTGTTGAAGTTACATTTCTTGGCTGAAATATTTTATTAAATAATTTCAAGTCACACAGCACGATTTTGTCACATTGAAGCTACATCATACGCTGTTAACCAGGTAAAAACTTTTCTTCAATAAAAATGATATTGTTTTAGCAGCGATCGTTCTTTAACATGTTTATAACTTTAGGATATACTTTAATTGCGGGGTTACCTAACTACGAATGTAGTATTCTGGTATAAAAACATGCTTATATATATATGCTATACCAGGGCTTCCCAAACTTTTGAGCTCGCGGCCCCTTTTAACATATTAAAATTTTTAACGGCCCTTGTCCACGTTGATAATGCTAAACAGTTCGAAATATGCATTTTTGATATCTTATTGGCACAGCTAATTCTCAACTAATATTATATCCCTACCAAATAAAAAACAAGCACACATTTATTCAAATTAACGTTACTCAATTATTCAGTGTAATGGGTGCGAATGCTTTTGCTGTATAGCAAGTCCAGCCGTTGTTCAATGTTTGTTTATGCAGGCCTAAATGATGAATTATGATGTCTGGCCAGTGGCCACTGACGACATGGTCCTCATCTCGAGTTGTTCACTCTTATAGATCGAACTTAGCGTAAGGCAGCGGTTTGTGCGACGCCAAATTATCAGGGGAAAAACTCATGGCGCACCTACACGAAAAATATGCTGCCTCAAAACAAAACACAATTTTGTCATCGTCAATATGTACTTTATGTCTTTTGAGGGTTTTAAACATGTAGGTCTAAGAAATAAAGGCAAAAGGTTAACGTTTCTTTCTTATCTCTGCCAGGTTTTTCTTTAAAATGCTAAAAAAAATCACGTTTGATAATCTCGGTTCAGCAAATGAATAAACTGCAGCCTATGAAATTGCAGCATGTAGGGTTTACCTCTTATCTTACGTGTAACAGAAAGTAAACAACAAATGGTAAAATGAATTTGATTCTATTACAATCATTATTTGATTCCCAGATACTGTTTGTTACGGGCTATCTTAGATTCTATACTTCACTTTTGGTCTCCTAAATTGCTATATTATAACTCTTTTTTGAGACTTACTGTGAATCTGATTGTCATATCAGGTATTTTATGTATTTATTGCGTTATTTTTGTTTTGCTTATGTTTATTTGTTGTGTTGTTTTTATATGGACCACAGCGGTCTGGAGTAATAAACGAATTGAATTCAATTTGCAACAATCAGAGACAATAAAATATTTAGAATAAATATAGGCTAATATCGTCACGCTAATAACCGAATTGCGTAAGTCATTTTTAGCAGTTTTGAGAAAAACGTAAAAAACATCCTAATGATTTTGTTATGCCATTGAGAGTCAATAATCTGCCATGGTTCAATTTTTTGATCGTAGCCGGATTTAAGTTAATTTGTATGACGCAGTTAAGTGACGTCATAATGGCGCACTGTGACTTAGGCAGAAATGTGTCTATGACTTGGGGACATACGCAATTTTGCAACTTTACTATATGCACCATTCCTGAAAACTAAACATTCCAAAAACGAATGTAATTCTCAGTATCTACGATGCCCAATCCCCAAAATAGCCAACCAGTCTGAATTACATTATTTTTTATGTTTAAAAATATATATTTCATCAATATACCACGTTCTGCACACCCACCGAAATAAGATTAAGATTAAATATAAAGAATAAAACAGCAATGCATCCAATATAAAAGCCAACCAAGGTGAATTGAAATCGGACAGTGAATATCACAAGTGCACGCCTTCCTATACCGTAGTATAAATTCAAATTAATACGCGCTAAGCCAGAATCCGAGATGCAAAAACTCGAAAATACTTCGCAGAGGTTATTTTTGTCTTTGTGACGTCACAATAGTCCAGCGGTAACAATGATAATTCATTATGACGAAACAATTGCACAAATGTGCATGACATACTAAATCTCCATTTTTATGGGTTTCGGAATTCTTAAAATAAAATCTGAGTTAACAGACAGGT